ATGATCGCAAACTCATGCTTAGATCCAAACAGTGTGCTTTTATTGGTTATAGTGCTCAACACAAGGGCGTCAAGTGCCTTGACATTCCCACGGGTCGTGTCTATATCTCCCGAGATGTAGTGTTTGATGAAACAAAATTTCCCTTCGCAAATCTTCACCCCAATGCCGGAGCTCTTCTACGTCAAGAAATACTTCTTCTACCATCCAGTCTCATCGGCGCTCATCAAGGGGAAAATGATTGTGATGATCCACTATTGACTAATCCTCATAACCTTGCTCTTGAGTCCTGTACTGATGCAGATGCAAATGTTGAAGAAAATGGCGAAGGAAATCCTCAAAACGGTGCATAATACGCTCCAAACGAGCGATATTTCATGTGCCACCGAACGGGGGACATATCCGCCTCGGGATCGGTGCCCCAGCAGCGCGCCAGTGAATCCCCCACGGGGTCTGTGCTGCAGCAGGGCGTTAGCGTGTCGGGTTCCGCCCCAACTGCCGGGCGCGGCAGCAGCCAGCCCGCAACTGCCATGCGGGCACCTCCCACTGCGCCAGGCGCGCCGTCCGCTCCGCGCCAATCAGCTGGCGACACATGCCAGCCTCCGCCTCGCTGGCCAGCGGGCGGACCCCGCCACTACGTGCGCCGCCAGCCAGGTGGGCCTTCAGGCGCGGAAGCTGGTGCAGGCACGGGATCCGGTGCCGATCCTGCCGCGGACGCGCGATCCGGCGTGGATTCTGCTGGGCCCGCGCAATCATTGCATCATGATGGGTCCGACGCAGATCGCATGCATGGCTCGGGATCTTCTGCTCCGCTCGACATGACCACACCGACCGATGGTGCCGCAGAAGATCCTGCTGCTCCAGAAACCGCGCCAGGAGTATCCGCCTCGGGAGCGCCTCGACCAGAGGTTGGATCCTCTGTGGAGGGCAACAGTGCAACTCCTCCTGTTCCTTCACGTACAAGGCTGCAAAAAGGGGTAATTAAACCTCTTAATTATAAGCAAATAACCAAATTTGGTCTAGCTTGTTCTACAGGTGAGCCAGACACTCTTGATGAAGCACTTGGTGATGAAAAGTGGAAAAAGGCCATGGAAGAAGAATACATGGCACTTCAGAGAAACAGAACTTGGCATTTAGTTCCCCCACGGCGAGGTAAAAATCTAATTGATTGCAAGTGGGTCTACAGAATAAAGAGAAAATCTGATGGAACTATAGATCGCTACAAGGCCAGGTTGGTTGCAAAAGGCTTCAAACAGCGGTATGGTATTGACTATGAGGACACATTTAGTCCTGTTGTTAAAGCCGCAACTATTCGTCTTGTACTGTCTATTGCTGTATCCAGGGGATGGAGTCTTAGACAACTGGATGTCAAGAATGCGTTTCTTCATGGCGTTCTGGAAGAGGAAGTATACATGAAATAGCCTCCTGGGTATGAGAACAAGAGTAAGCCTTCCTATGTGTGCAAGCTTGATAAAGCTCTATATGGACTAAAGCAAGCTCCCAGAGCATGGTACTCACGCCTGAGTCAGAAATTGCAAGCACTTGGTTTTACTCCTTCCAAGTCTGATACATCTCTGTTTATTTACAATAAGTCAAATACATCAATATTTGTGTTGATTTATGTGGATGATATCATTGTTACAAGTTCATCAAATGAAGAAGTGACAGGGCTGTTAAAAGACTTAAATGCTGAGTTTGATCTCAAGGATTTGGGAGACCTACATTACTTTCTAGGTATTGATGTAAAGAAACATGAAGATGGCCTCCACCTATCTCAAGAAAAATATGCTGCTGACCTGGTAAGAAGGGTTGGTTTACAAGGATGCAAACCATCGTTGACCCCCCTCTCAAGTACTGAAAAATTATCACTTGAAGAGGGAGTTCTCTTGAATAAAGAAGATAGTACTCGATACAGAAGTTTAGTTGGGGCTCTTCAGTATTTAACCTTGATTAGACCTGATTTATCTTTTGCTGTCAACAAAGTATGCCAGTTTCTTCATGCACCCACCACAGTTCACTGGACTGCTGCAAAGCGCATTGTGAGATATGTTAAACATACTATGAAGCTTGGTCTCTTTTTCAGCAAGTCATAATCAAATCTTGTCAGTGCATTTTCTGATTCTGATTGGGCAGGATGTGTGGATGATAGACGATCCACAGGTGGTTTTGCAGTGTTCTTTGGACCAAACTTGATATTATGGTGTGCTAAGAAACAGGCTACTGTATCTAGGTCAAGCACTGAAATAGAGTATAAAGCATTAGCAAATGCTACAGCAGAAATTATCTGGGTTTAGTCTATGTTAAGAGAACTTGGTGTGAAGCATACCAAAGTTCCATGTTTGTGGTGTGACAACTTGGGTGCTACCTATCTATCTGCTAACCCAGTTTTCCATGCAAGAACAAAACATATTGAGATAGATTTCCACTTTGTCAGAGAAAGAGTTGCAAACAGACAATTAGAAATCAGATTTGTTCATTCACGAGACCAAGTTGCAGATGGCTTTACAAAAGCGTTGCCCACAAGGAATTTTGAAGAATTCAAGCGTAATCTCAACCTTATACAGTTGTGATTAAGGGAGGGTGTTAAGCGACAGATATGGCGTGCAAGGTCCGGTTCAACCAGGACGTCTCCACCGAGCCTAGACTAGGGTAGTTAGTTGTGATTTCATCTTATCTCTTGTAACTATCTCTATCTCTCTAGTCTATCCCTTAGGCTCCAAGTTAAGGATCCTAACAATGTAATCTTCTCTGTACGCTATACGGGGGGTCACGCCCCGCTCTATATAACACGCAACCGTCGCCCTAGGCAGGGTACGACGTTCTCTCACAGTATCTAGATCCGTGCTGCTGCTCAAATCGCAGGGCGATTCGGGATGGAGAAGGCTGCGTCTAACTACGACTGATCTTTATGGCAGGTATTCCTCCTCCTGGCACTGCATTTTGATTTGTTTGATCTATCCACATGGGTTTCCTAACTTTGCAAAACATTGTTCTTCCCCATCTTACAGCCCAAGTTTTTCCCCTCGATCCGCCCTCTGTGACTGTTGTAGGCACGCTGAATCATTCACTCGTGTTCAGTTCTTCTCAAAAGGTAATTTCTCAGGTCTAGCCCCGCTTGCACAGTCAGGGCTTGCTGCGAACAGTAAAATGCAACTAAATGAAACATCTCTGCTATACAGAAAACAAAGTTTTTTCCTTGGAGTCGCCCTCATCTCTCTATAGTGATAAAATAATGTGGTTTGTCATGTCATATGCATACTGACATTTAACTATTACGGCTTTATCCCCAGTCTTTTGGTTATTGCTAAAATGATTCGATTTATAGCATCGAGACACTCATGGTGCTGTCTATATATTATACCAATCCATTCTGTTTCCATGAATAATCTTTGGTCCTTATCAAGTCCAATGTGATTTCTACTAGATGAAACCCTAACTTTGAGCATATTTATACATTCAAAATCACAGAAATTACATTCTCGATCCACTGTGCTTCTAGAGAAGGGGTTGCGGCTATCTTTCTTGATTTATTTATGTTCTCCTACCAAAGTGGGCCTTGAATTTAGCTACATTCTATAAATTACGTCTTTGTTATCTTACTGCATCCACCACATGTACTGATTTGCTCCCCAGTGAAAAACAAGCATCATGTGTCATGGCCTGAACCACATTAAAGCTACGATGTATGAGATCACATGGAGAGTTGTTTATTTATAGAAGTTTATAGGTTGACATCGAATGTCGTGTACCTTACTCCCTGCCTTTGCGATAATCCATTCACTCCATCGAATGTCTCACCCTCGCGTCGCCCCGCCCCGCGCCGCCCCCGCGCCGCCCCTAGCGGGCGCCACGGGGGGTGATTCCCCTCCTGCCGGCGTAACCTCCCTCTCTCCATCTTCTCCTCGCCGCCGCACGAGGCTGGCGCCGGGCCATGCCTGGGGCGCGGTCTGGGACTGCGGCGGCGGGGCCGGCTCCGCTCCGATCTGCATCGGAGGGTCTTGGATCCGGGCGGCGGCCCCTGGCGAGGCTCCCTGTCTCCTGCGGCCTTCTTCCCTGCTCGGTGCACTTCGCCTGCGAAGGTCCCTGGGTGTGCTGGATGGCCTGCCTATGGGATGCGGGCGATTTTGGTGGTCGGGATCCAGATCGGGGGAAACCCGGGTCGGCTCCGGCTGGCCGCGACGACGACGACGCCCGCGGGCGCCGATTTCTTCATGGAGACGTCTGTCAAGGTCTGCCCTTCCACTCCCCACCACCTAGCTTCTCGGGTGAAAACCTAACTCCGGTGGGCGGCGGCGGCGTCTTTGGCGCTGCGACCTTCTTGAAGGCGCCGCCTTGAGGGCTGGGTGGTGGCGGGCGCTGTTTGGGGTCGGTGACAGCTGCCGACGGCGTGCCCTTCTTCGCCCAAGCTCCGCTTTTCCTCCGACGCGTTCCGGTTCTCCTGGGGGCGTCGTTTTGGAGTAAGTGTTGGCTGGGGCGATGGTGGAGCGGTGCTCCATCTCACACATTGATGGCGGCGGATGTCGGCAGCATGGCGCTGTGGAGGCTCGACGTCCGATGCACGGAGATGGACTCGCGCAGGAGGAGGTTGCTATTTGGCGTCATGGTGGCGTCAATGGCGGAGTGGCCAGACATGGTAGAAGCCTCAATTTGATCTGAAGACGGACCTGTGGAAGATGGCGGCGACGACACACGAGTGCGTCTGACCGGATTATGCCCCAAACCCGGTATGTGGCTCGGCTGGGGCTTCCGAATGTGTTTCGGCTTCCGGCTTTTGATGTTAGGTTTACGTGAGTGGTCCGGGTAGTGGCCCGGCTAGCACCCCTTCATCATATTGGATATGAGTAGTGGCATATGTTGCCAAGATGGTGGATTCAGGCACATTGGTGTAATACTTTGTATGGTCCTCGAGAATAATCAATAAAGTGGCCGTATGCATCTTCCAGATGCAGAGGCCGGGGGTCATCCTCCTTTTCTAAAAAAAAAAACTCCATTCTTACTGTGTCATGATTTCTGAACCAGGTTTCGCCATGCCTCCTGTGGACCTTCCATCCAAGATCATCTTGGATGTTATGTTTGAGAAAGTTGGCCATCCATCGGCTGCCTACTCTGCACGTGTCATTCATCACGGCTGCCTTGAAGTCACGGTTGATTTCCATCCAATTGCCAGTGAACTGGAGCGTCCTGTTAGTCAGACCTACATTTCAACCTCCGCTTTTATTGATCTGGAAGAAGCACAGAATCATGTTGCGCATAAAGCCATGGAATTCATGGAGCAGGAACACAATGTGGTCCCATCTGATTATAACTATGCTAAGCTTCAGTCTGCTAGGCTTAACAACGAGGCTCTGCGTCAGCGCCTGAAAGAAAGAGATCAAAGTATTGAAGCACTCAAAAAGGTTAATACATCTCTTGTGCAGCAGCTAGCCGAGAAGAGCAGCACTCTTGAGTCTACCATGAAGAAAAACAGAGATCTAATGGAGAAGCTTGCTGAAAAGGATAGTGTCATTGAAGCCCTCAACAAGGACAATAAAACTCTGCACAAGGAGCTTGATGAAAAAATGGAGATCATAAAAAGCCTCAGCAAAGGATGGGACAACTCACTGGATACTGGGTTTTCAGCGACCACCCAGCTTCAGCGTCTGATTGATGAGACCATGTCCCCTGGCTCAACAGACACAGAAATTGAGCTAAATGCAACTCTCCTTAGTGCTCAGAAGATCTACGAGTATCTTGAGCAGAACACAATCCTTGCTGTTGAGTACCTGCAATCCATTGGGACATATCCATATGAACCAAAGTCAGGTTGTACTGATGATGAGGATAACTGCTTGGTGAACCCTGAATCCGTGCCACCAGAACATCAACCCTACATGAGAAGCATTCTGGATGACGAGGAGATCTTTGATAGTGAAGGGAATTGCTCTGCGGACTTCGACACTATGCCCGAGGAGCACTGCTGATCCAACATCAACGACAGGTCAACATGGTTATCTTAACAATCGTTTCATGGTACCAGCTTGCCGTCTTCTGCTATCTAGCCTGTGCATCTCACATTTATGTTGCGACCGATGATTTACTATGCACTGCCCTCCCCTACTAAACTTATTATCTATGTAAATTATGTGGCATCTGCTGATGCGTGACTCTACTCTTTTATGCCCTACCCCGGTCTACTGAACTTATTTATGTAAATTATATGGTGTGTACCAGGGCTCTGCCCCATTATCTAACGCCCTGTCAAATTTAATTTATGTAAATTATAGTTTCCACTAATACCATTCTGGGCTACGCAATCCCTCGTTTAAACTGACTTTGTTGTATACTTTGCATCAATGTCAGGCTGTGGCATGTGTCCCAGTGAATACCATGAATATCAACAACGATTGGCAGCTTATATTTCCCATCTCATTTAACTTATAAACACTGTCATTTTGGTTGACTAATGGCACGTAAATTTGGTTCTTTTACATGACACTTATTATGCGGCACAAAAAAGGCTCCTAACCAATGTAGAGCCGGGTCGCAAATCACAAAGAGAAGTACATGGGCCATCAAAAGAGGCCCATCCAATTAGGTTAGATATATACCAGCTCCCTTGCATACAGTGTTTTCAGATCCGTTCCCCTCTTCCTTTCACCGGGCTCTTCTTCCAGTTCAGGCGACGCCATGGATGACAGATCCTCTGCAATGGCATCCTCGTCTGTGTATGTCCAGACAAATGATGGACTGCGGGTCAAGGGCCTTCCTCCGGTTAGTTCCAATCTCTTATCCTATTGTTCTTCTCTTTGTTCCTCAATTTCATGGCTCATGGCATACTGATATAGAAATTTGACCTCTCGTACAATCAAAGCTATCTCCAATTTGTGTCACCATCAGCAAGCAATTCATTCTTGAATGAGCAATTGAAACAATTGGTGGCACACTCCATCCATTCACTTTTACCGGCACGGGCAACAATGATGTTGACGTCTCTGTCTCCATTGACCTACCTCCCCACAGCAAAAGCGTCTCAAACACAAGAAAGGAATTTCATGCCCCATACATTGAATCTGCATGTGTTGCCGTCCTCGTGTACCTACAGAGAACAGGTATAGTCACAATCGATGATGCAAACTTTGCAGAGCTGAAAATGTGCAAAAGAAAACTTCAGGCTGAGGAGTTCTGGTCCTCGGCTCTCTATGATAAGGCCACCGCCCTGCGCGGCCAGCCCTCTTTACTGACTGTCGTCAACCAAAAACCCTAGCCTGAGGCTAAACAAGGAGCTACTATGTTGCCTCCTAAGCATCAGAGTACTGCATAGACCAGCCAGATAGTGCTCTCCAAGGTAAACTCGCACGACACAATACTTTTGTCCCTGTGTATTATCCTCCAGTGCTTAATGCTCGTTTCTCTTGATCATTTCTTATCCACAGGATGCCACTCGAGGAGAAACCACATCAACCCTGATACGTCTCCAACGTATCTATAATTTTTGATTGCTCCATGCTATAATATCTACTGTTTTGGACATTATTAGGCTTTATTATCCACTTTTATATTATTTTTGGGACTAACCTATTAACCGTAGGCCCAGCCCAGAATTGCTGTTTTTTGCCTGTTTTAGGGTTTCGAAGAAAATGAATATCAAAAGGAGTCCAAACGGAATGAAACCTTCGGGAACGTGATTTTCTCAACGAATAAGACCAGAGAGACTTGGACCCTACGCCAAGAAATAAAACAGGAGGCCACGAGGTAGGGGGGCGCGCCCACCCCCACCAGGCGCGCCCTCCACCCTCGTGGGCCCCTTGTTGCTCCACCGACGTACTCCTTCCTCCTATATATATCCACGTACCCCCAAACGATCAGAACAGGAGCCAAAACCCTAATTCCACCACCGTAACTTTCTGTATCCACGAGATCCCATCTTGGGGCCTGTTCCGGAGCTCCGCCGGAGGGGGCATCGATCACGGAGGGCTTCTACATCAACACCATAGCCCCTCCGATGAAGTGTAAGTAGTTTACCTCAGACCTACGGGTCCATAGTTAGTAGCTAGATGGCTTCTTCTCTCTTTTCGGATCTCAATACAAAGTTCTCCCCCTCTCTTGTGGAGATCTATTCGATGTAATCTTCTTTTTTGCGGTGTGTTTGTTGAGACCAATGAATTGTGGGTTTATGATCAAGTCTATCTATGAATAATATTTGAATCTTCTCTGAATTCTTTTATGTATGATTGGTTATCTTTGCAAGTCTTTTCGAATTATCAGTTTGGTTTGGCCTACCAGATTGATCTTTCTTGCAATGGGAAAAGTGCTTAGCTTTGGGTTCAATCTTGCGGTGTCCTTTCCCGGTGACAGTAAGGGCAGCAAGGCACGTATTGTATTGTTGCCATCGAGGATAACAAGATGGGGTTTTCTTCATATTGCATGAGTCTATCCCTCTACATCATGTCATCTTGCTTAAGGCGTTACTCTGTTTTTAACTTAATACTCTAGATGCATGCTGGATAGCGGTCGATGAGTGGAGTAATAGTAGTAGATGCAGGCAGGAGTCGGTCTACTTGTCTCGGACGTGATGCCTATATACATGATCATACCTAGATATTCTCATAACTATGCTCAATTCTGTCAATTGCTCAACAGTAATTTGTTCACCCACCATAGAGTACTTATGCTCTTGAGAGAAGTCACTAGTGAAACCTATGGCCCCCGGGTCTATCTTTATCATATTGATCTCGTACTACTTAGTTATTTACTTTGCCTTTATTTTACTTTGCATCTTTATCATAAAAACACCAAAAATATTATCTTATCATATCTATCAGATCTCACTCTCGTAAGTGTCCCTATAGGGATTGACAACCCCTATTTGCGTTGGTTGCGAGGATTTATTTGTTTTGTGCAGGTACGAGGGACTCGCATGTAGCCTCCTACTGGATTGATACCTTGGTTCTCAAAAACTGAGGGAAATACTTACACTACTTTGCTGCATCGTCCCTTCCTCTTCGGGGAAAACCAACGCAGTGCTCAAGAGGTAGCAAGAAGGGTTTCTGGCGTCGTTGCCGGGGAGGTCTACGCAAAAGTCAACATACCAAGTACCCATCACATACCCTTATCTCCCGCGTTACATTATTTGCCATTGCCTCTCGTTTTCCTCTCCCCCACTTCACTCTTGTTGTTTTATTCGCCCTCTCTCTCTCTATCCTCCCTCTCCCTCTCTATTTGCCTCTTTTTTCCCGCTTGCTTTTTGTTTGCTTGTGTGTTAGTTTGTTTGCTTGTCGTTATGGCTAGTCCCTTATCTTCTCCCGAGAATGAAATTCTAGATTTTAAGCAAAGGGAGGGTGAAAATCTAAAACATGCTTGGTATAGAATTTGAAATGCTCAAAATAGATCTACTAGGAAGCAATCTACTACCATTCTCCTTCACAATTTTTATGTAGGCATTACTCCTTGGCACCGTTATGTTCTTGATACTATTACCGGAGGGAACTTTTTGTGTAGCCATACTTTTGATTCTTATAATGCTATGTTAGATTTATTTAGCTCACCCCCTCTCTTGGTTAATGGAACTATATTAACTTTGGAGCATGTAATGCAAAGGCTTAAGATTATTGAAAATAAGGTTGCTACCGTAGAGTTAATTGAAAATTTGGATAAAAAGATATTAAAGAAAAGGAACCCATAGTTAATGAGAAAATAAATCACGATTCCGTTAGGATCGATAAACTTGAGAATATTATTACCAACTTGGGAACCGCTTTTTCTTCCGTAAAGAATACTCCAAGTCCTTCCACTAAAGTTGTCAAGCTTATGTACGTTCCTAAAAATAAGGGTGAATCATCTAGTAAGGAAAATGCGGATCTCAAATCTATAAGTGTTCATCCCAATCTTTTTGCTATCATTAAGGAACCATTTGTTACAAATAAATTTTTCGATCTTGTGCCTAAAAGTTTGATAATAAATAAAAAGAAAGAAATTCCTAAAGATGGTAGATGCCTAATTGAAGAATTGCCTACCAAAGATGGCAATACCTAGATCTATTCTTGCTTGTTATGCCTAGCTAGGGGCGTTAAACGATAGCGTTTGTTGGGAGGCAACCCAATTTTATTTTTATTCCTTACTTTTTGCTCCTGTTTAGTAATAAATAATTTTTCTAGCCTCTGTTTTGGTTGTGTTTTTTGTGTTTAATTAGTGTTTGTGCCAAGTAGAACCGTTGGGAAGACTTGGGGAAAGTCTTGTTGAACTTGCTGTAAAAAACAGAAACTTTAGCGCTCACGAGAACTGCTGTCATTTTTATTTGAAGAGTGCTATTTAGTTAATTATTTTTTCAGATTATTACTAGATAAATTCCTCACGTCCAGCAATTTATTTTAGAATTTTTTGGGTTCCAGATCTTGCGCTAGATACAGATTACTACAGACTGTTCTGTTTTTGACAGATTTTGTTTTTGACAGATTCTGTTTTTCGTGTGTTATTTGCTTATTTTGATGAATCTATGGCTAGTAAAATAGTTTATAAACCATAGAGAAGTTGTAATACAGTAGGTATAACACCAATATAAATAAAAAATGAGTTCATTACAGTACCTTGAAGTGATCTTTTATTTTCTTTCGCTAACGGAGCTCACGAGATTTTCTACTTTAAGTTTTGTGTTGTGAAGTTTTCAAGTTTTGGGTAAAGATTTGATGGATTATGGAACAAGGAGTGGCAAGAGCCTAAGCTTGGGGATGCCCATGTCATCCCCAAGATAATCTAAGGACACCTAAAATCCAAAGCTTGGGGATGCCCCGGAAGGCATCCCCTCTTTCGTCTACTTTTATTGGTAACTTTACTTGGAGCTATATTTTTATTCGCCACATGATATGTGTTTTGCTTGGAGCGTCCTGTATGATTTGAGTCTTTGCTTGTTAGTTTACCACAATCATCCTTGTTGTACACACCTTTTGAGAGAGCCATACATGATTTGGAATTTGTTAGAATACTC